CCCCAAAACCCCAAAACCCCATTAAAGAATATAACTATTAGAATTTGTGATTAGGAATATATATTTAGATGTATAAAGTATTACTAGTTTTTCTTTGTTAAATTTCAATAAAATAATATCTAATACTTAATAAAATAAAGTCTTTATGCTCATTATTTTTCAATAATTTTGGAGTTCTTTTTTCTCTTTTTCTTTTTTCACTATTGTCTTAACTTCATCAACAGCATCAAGAATATCTTGCCTCATGCTAATAGTTCCTTGGACCTTTTCCTCAACCCTTTAAATAATTTTAGTAAGAATTTTTATTTTCCCCTCCCATAATAATTACTCAGGAGCATCCTAGCCAATTTCAGCATTATGACATATTAGCAATCTTTGCAATTTTTTATTGCTAGTTTTATTTTTCAAATTCAAAAGTCCCTCTACTTCCATCACTAATTTTGCTTGTTCTTTCAAATCAACACTTGTTGCTAAAGTTTATACCCGATCATAAGTATCCCCCATTACAGCAATAATCAAGTTAAACAAAACTAAGGGAATAAAAAAGGTTGAAATAATGAATAATATCCATTACTGTGCTGTAAATCCTGATGTTTCGAAATCTCCAAACGAAAGCATATAAGTGAATTACAATGAATTTACAAACATTTAAACTTAATCATAAATATCAAAGCTGTCTTAAAAATCATTATCTTTATCAAAAGTAAATAGATAAAACATCAAGCTGAAACCAACAATCCAATAAACAAGAATGATAGTAAAACTTGCCATATCCTTAATAATTTCTATGATCATATTATTAAAATATCTAAGGCTACTAAAAATTCTCAAGTGAGACATTCCCCTTAAAAGTAAACATATAAGAGTAATATTATCGATTAAAGTAGTAATAATCTAATGAGTTTTATTCTAAATTCCTACAAAATTCCTAATGCAATTTAAGTAAAAAGAAGTATACGCGATAATATCGGTGAAGTTCCATATATTATCAAAATGGTTCATAATACCTGATCTAAATATCTGATTTAACTCGTATCCAAAGAATAAACTATTAATTATCATCAAATACAAGGTAAATGGAAGTGAGTCATAAAGAAATATTTATCTGATATAAAATGATACAAGAAAAAGAAAAAATGCAGCAGCTTATAGTCTTAGAAATGCCAAACACTCCTAATATTTATATGCTATTATAAATCTTAAGTTAGATCTCACAACCTCCTCCGACGTTTCTTTTGAATATTTCTTAAGAAATTCAAGACTTGAAGCCGACCCTCTGTCAAAATTATATGCAAAGATGCTTGAGGAAATTTATAGTACAATGTCATCACCTCCTGGATATTCCTTAAACTTATTTACAATTTCATTACACAGTGTTTATCCTATCATGTTTTATTCTAATGGGACTAGGATTATTTATTTATAGGAGTTAACATTAAAAGGAAGAGCACATTTATGGAACCTCGGAACTGTAAATAGATTTAGGATCAATAACTTAGCAGCTGGTAGAGGACACTCCATAAGAGTCAGAAGGTCTTTATCACTTACTACAATGCATTCTTAATATTTGTTGAAAGTTTCCAAGATTATATTCATGTGCTACAATTTATTGATTTAGTAAGCAAAACAAAGAGGACTTAGTCCTTTGAATGTTGTATGATATAAATTCTAAACCTTGACATTTTCAAAAAATTTTTGCATTAGACTTTGATCATTATTCATGATTATATGATGAAGTATAGTCATACCTATATTTCCATAAAATGTATCAACCATTCCAAATTAGTGAAAGATTTAATAAGCAATCAATGAATTCTCTTTAACAAGATTATCTTCATGACTCAGTCCTTTAATTATATATTTCATTAGGAAAATGCTTGAAGTAAAAGAATCTGTACTTGTTGGTAACTATGATTTCAAGATTGGATTAAGTGTTTTAACTCCTTATATTTGAGTACTAGTAGAATGCTTGCATATCAAATAAGTTTAGTCAGGTTTTTCGATTATTTGATTTACATTTCGAATCATATATTTACTAACTACTGATTTGAGATTATTCATATCCAATACTTTTACTTACAAGGAAGTAGCTAAATAAATGAATTTTTCATCTAGTGAAAGTTTTATAACCAAAATTTATTCATAAGTTTTCAACTCTAACTCAGGATATTATTATTATAGGTTATATATAACCAAATAGTTTTATTTTCCAGTTAAAGAGGACCTAGTTTCAACATATGCTATAAGATTGCTATTTAGAAGCGTATAATTGTCAGAAGAAAAAGTTAACTTTTTCATTAAAAAGGAGTTAGTATTTTTTTTAAAATCTCTTAAGATTAGACAATTTTCATTCTAATCATAAATTACTACTTTAGAACTTTCTCCTGGCACAAAATCTACTCTTGAAACAACATTCCTTATAAAAGGCTACTTTAAGTCAAACTTAGTTTCATCAAGATTCCATTCATAGAATTAGTAGAATTAACCTCCAACATTTATAATCAAAGATTACTAGTCATCAGAGAAATTTATTTTCATTCCTAGTGCACTCAATACTTCTTTTTGCTCCTAAATATGGAAAACTCTGAAATTTTTTCCATCCTTAATAGTTATAAATTTTCCATTGAAGCTGAACCATTTCACCATATAAAGATTTTTTACTTTGAGTTTGAATAAATATTCCTAGAAAAAACTCGTCAAATTTTAGAGAACTGATATACCCTAGGCAACATCACTTTATTAAAAGCTAATGTCTGAAATTACAATTTGTGATAGATCTTTTTATGTATAACACCCTAAGCCAATGTTTAAAGATTAAATTGTTGTCACAAAGCTAGTCTCTAAGTTATTCAAATCTAAAATGATACACTCAAATGGGAATTTTTTCCTTATTGCATAATAGACTTTAAGTTTTGGTAAAATGATAGCTCTTGAATATTTTATGTTGTCAATTGTCAATTCAAAAGCCTTTTAATCAACACAAAAGCATGAGTTATTATTGTCCAGATAGACAGATGTCATATTTTTTAGCGAATGATGGTAAGGGATAGTATTCACAGCAAACTAAATATCTACATCTGGGTCTAAATTAATGATAGGATTGGTCTCTGTAAGTTTGATTTAGTCAGATTTAATAGAGATTTTCCACTCTTTTAATTGCTTTTTATCAATCATAAAATACTAATCTATGTCTTGATAATAGCCAACTTCAAGGCCTTCATAAGTTTTCAAATTGATTGTTGAAAGGTTTTATTTTTTCAAAATATCATAAAGCTGGATTTCAACTCCATGAATAAATATCAAAGCTTTATCATCTTAATTGGCAAATACTATTTTCGGGTATAATACTAATTCATTAGATTTTAAAAGTTTTGGGGTTTCTGCGACATTGATAAATTTCTTATTAGAGAGACTTACAAATAAAACATAATGCTAACAAGCGTGCTCAATAGACTTGTCTTCAACATCCTCTATCGGAACTTAATATAATCTGGAAATTGCAAAGTATTTCATATCAAGAGATACAGCTGAAAATTAGAATGTTTCGAACTTTTTAATCGCTATCTCATGAGATAAACTATCAACTACATTCTTCTTACCAATTTTTAATATATGCAGATATTATGATGAATGTTCTGCTTTCTTTTGCAGAGTCATAATCAAATGAGCATCTCCCTCAGCATAATTTTCCTTAAGATGACAATCTATTGGATCATAGAGGTGAAAAGTTGATACATTAGTTTAGAGGGTACTTTCATAAAGAATAGCATTAGTATATCTTTGAAGAATATGTAGCTCTTATTTTCCAGATTATGGCTCAAATAAAATGCAAATATATCTAGAGGAAATTCCCATTTATATTGGATTAAGTCCCTACCCAGAGTAGTAATCTAATATCATGGTTTTATTGAATTTTTCTTCATCTTGAACTTTATGATGGTTTGAAAGATCCTGAAGTTCTTTTAATGATGATGTTTTATCAGTATTAGTCATTTCAAAATAGAAAGTATGTAGAAACTATTAATATTTATACTAATTAGGGATTAAAGTTAATATCTTAATAAAGTATATAGAAATTCGAACTTTTATTTTTCAAATTAAATTTTATTCGAAGAATTGAGTTGAAGGGGTTTTGGGGTTTTGGGG